ATTTATAAAATTTTCTTTACTAATTTGATAGCAGAGTTTTGGTTAAATTTTTCCTTAAAAGTGCAGTCCTTAAACTTGTGTATATTTTCATAGGACACTGTAGATTTTAATTTGCCGTAAGTGATGCATAGAAGGAAAATACTTGCTACTTTCCCTTGTGGACTGGTTCTGAGTTAATTCCATCTTGAAACTGAGACTAATTTGAATGTGCAGGTTTTTGTCTATAATCACTTTTGCCTCTCGTTGAGGTATCATGCAGAACGCAAGGTGAAGCCAGTAGTTCATCTGGAATGGAAGATAACTGCCAAGAAAACAGCTTTGAAGAAAAAGACTTGGGTGTCCTGGTGGGTAACAAGCTCAACAGGAGTTAAAAGTGTGGCCTTGCAGCAAAGATGGCCAGTTGTATCCTGGGTTGTATCATGGAATACTTGATGTTGGAAGGAACCTCTGGAAATCATCTTGTCTGCCCCCCTGCTCATGCAGGGTCATACGGAGCAGGTCATCCAGGACCGTGTCCATTTGAGTTTTGAATATACCCAAAGATGGGGACTCCACAGCCTCTCTGGGCAACCTATTGCTATGTTAGCAAGAGGTAGCCAGCAGGTCAAGCAAAAATATTTCCATGCCCCACTCCCCATCCTTCTGTACTTCTGAGACTGCATCTGGAGCACTGTGTCCAGTTTTGAATTCCACAGGATGAAAGGTGTTGACATACTGATGCAAGTTCAGTGGAGAGCTAACAAGATGATGTGGGCTGGAGCACATGATATATATGGGAGACCGGAGTTTGTTCAGCCTTGAGAAGGCTAAAGGGAGATTGGTTCTGTAATGGGAGGGTGTAGAGAAGACACTTAAATTGGACTCTTCAAAGAAGTGCATGGGGGAAGGATGAGACGCAACAGACACAACTTAAGGGGAAACTTGGTTTAGATAGAAGGAAAATCTGCTTTTCTGTGAGGGTGGTGAAATCCTCCAGAGAGATTTTGGAATGCTCATCCTTGGAGATGCTCAGGTTTGACTGGACAAGATCCTGAGCAACCAGCTCTGGACCTGCTTTGACCAGGAGGTTGCACTTGACCTCTGGAGGTCCCCTCCCATCTACATTATTCTGTGATTCTATACTTCTGAAACAGAGAATGAAGCAGTGATGTTTAAAATAAAGAGTCGGGAATTTTTGTATATTTTTTTTTTCACTTGGTCAGTAATGAAGAGTTTGGTGTTCTTTGTTCTGTTTTTCTCTCTACTAGAGAAGTTCATTCTTTAGAGAAGTTCATTCTTTTGTCTCCTGACCAGGAAATACAAACGTTGACGGAGCTTTACGTTTTTCTTAATTTCTTTTATGAACATCCACTTTGCCTTGAGGATGGTTAAAATATTTGATTAAGGAGAGAAATCTGTAGTAAGAAGATGAGAACAGCTGTTCTGGTTCAGATCAGGGATAGAGACGCCTGCAGTGCATGTAAGCAGGGCATGCAGGGAAGAGTAAGAATAGGGCAGGCACTTGGGATATTTTCCCTGAGCATTCTCTTAGTTTCTGACTCTAGAGGTCAGGGGTCTCTTGAACTTTGTGCAATGTTCCTGTATGCTATTTTTTGATTAATCTCTTTAAGTGCTTTTCCAGTCTCTCTGTGAACACATATAAGCAGTTTTTTCCATCTATGACACTCTTCAGTAAGAAGTTCTTCTGAACAGCTGTTCGTTATGTGAAGAGCTGCTTCCTGTTTGTTTGTTTGTTTTGAAACTTCTGTTGATATTCGTCTGATCTCCCATAGTTGTTAATATTAAAAAAGACACTGAACAGTAGATCCACAGTGCCCTGATTTGTACTATTTTTGGTTCTGTCACTATCCTCTTAAGTTATCTTGACTCCAGGGCAAAAAACCTTACCTCATAAGAATGTTTTTTGACTCTGTGTATTACTGTAATTCTCCTTAGTTTTAGTGAATCTTCTGTTTGTTTATTCAAGCTAGAAGGATATTTCTAGGAAAAGGATTCCCAAATGTTACTTTTTCTACAGAATGAAATTAATACTGCAGATCCTTAAAGATGAAAGATAACGTGATGAATGTGAGAGTAGAAATGTATGTGACTTGAGAACCTTGAGAAGAGAGTCTTCTCTGGGAATTTGACACTTGGAAGCAAGAGAATTCTTGGTTTGCATTATGGCTATCCAAAAACATGGGATAGTACAGTACAAGGCTCTGTGTTGATATTGTCAACGGAGGAAGACTTTGAGTTAGACTACTTGAAAAGTGAGGCACCTGTATAATGCTGATGGATGAATACTTTCAGATATGCTGTCATCGTTTTTTGTACTTCTTGGGTTTTGAATAGTTTTAATAGTCAAGCTTACAAGTTTGGGAGTGTTGGCAAGAATAATAAAAATGCAGGAAAAAAAGTTCAACTTAAAGGAGAAGATGATTACAAGGTTTTGGGAGCAATAAATTTGAAGAGGTTTCAGGCCTTTTAATTTTTTTTTCTTCACCAGTGTCCCATCTCCTTCACTTGTGTAACATGTTGAAATTTCTAATGCTCACTCTTCTTAGTTGCTGTGACAAGAATAAAGTGAGAGCTTTTCTGTTATGCTTTTGTTTTTACCCACAGAATCTTCTGCATCCTTGATATTTTTTTTGGAAGTTCATGTCCATTTTACTCTTGATAATTTAGATCTAGGTTTGCTAGATTACTACTAGATATTAGTCAAGATTCTTCTTGTTGCTTTTAAGTCTGAAAGATCTAGGGTGAAATCAGTAAACAACTCCAGTACTCTAAATAGATTCTTGAAATTCGGAAGTGATGGATGTGCTGCTGCACTGTACTTCATGTGCATGATCCTTTCTTGACATCAGTTAAATAATTAGATATTTGAGATGCTGGTTAGCAAAAGCTGTTTCTACTTGCAAGGGTTTTTTGTTGAAACATATAATCTGTTGACACGATGAATCCTTTCTGATTATACACTGATCAGCTTACTATAAATTACTATAATCTGTATTTTTATCTTGCTGTCTCTTGAAGTCATCATGGCCTCAGTTTTTGATTTTTCTTTCAGACCTAGAACTTGTGAAAGCTTAATTTACCTGTTCCTGAACACTCTTGGTTAAGCTGTTTGTCAGCATATTTGCATTGGTGCTTCCAGATGTGCATTTTGGTTTATTCTAGAGCTACTAAGGCTATTAGTGCATGCAGATTTTTTGATGTTGGTTTTCCATAAAGCTTGTTCCAGGAAGTCAAGTCCTGTGTAAATTATGACCTGATTCTCACTGGTAACGTAACTTGGAAGTATTCTTGATGCCCCGCTTTTGCCTATTAGCCTATCAGAGGAGATGAACATATACTAGCAGAATAGTTCCAATTCCTTAAACAGTGTAATTGCTGCATTTTGGTCTTGATACTTAGTATGCATTTTGTCAATATTGTGACTGATTAGGAGGATTATTAGGTGATGTGTAACATTTTTAAAGGCAAACAGAAAAAAAAATAAGAAGGAAGGATCCTGGAGTTGTATCAAATACCCTCCTCTAGGTAGAAGCTTGATGTCTTTTTTTGGGGGGAGGAAATCCACAGCAAAGGTTTCCTGAAGGAAGCATGTGGAAATTGTGAAGCTGTTTGGTATTTTGAAATGTTGCTGGTCTCTGCAAGGTTCTACACCCAATTTGTGGCAGAGGCGTGCGTATTTGTACGTTTTCATGTACATGTTTTTAATATGGGGAAGATAATTCATGTTATAAAACTGTTTCTGTCTCTGTAATACTGGATTTAACTAGTTCTCAAATGTAGGTAGTCAAAGATAGGAAGAACAAAGATATCCACTGAACCTTCTGTTACTCTGAACAACGTGAAGCACCTATGAGACATGCTTTGCCTTTCCTTCCCCCTTCAGCCCTTGAGAACAGTGAAAGAGGGAAAGGTAGTGCCAAAATCATTTTTCAACAGAAGGGAAGAAATCTTAGGTGCCTTAGTGTCAGTAGGGTATTTTCTAATACTCAATAAGGAGAGTGTCTGTCTGATAGGAGACTTACTGCTGTTGAAATCAGGAATTCTCTGTGGTCACTGTCGAAACCATGATACTGTTTATATGGGCAGGAAAGGTGTCTAGACTTTTTTTTCTGAGACTTCATGGTGCTTGAGATATTTGCCTAACACTGAAATATGTAATACTTGTAACACATCAGAACTATTGATTTTGTGTGTTGACTGTGTCATTGATATTTCTGCTTGGTGTGATCTTTCTCTGCTTTATACAACATTTGTTCCCTTCTGTGGAAAACTGCTGATGGATTGACTGTTCTGTTGAGAGACATAAAAATTGAATCTGTTGTCAGGTTCATGGAGTCACGGTTCCTCACTGCATCCAGGGAGGAGCATAGGAACTCCAGTGTGTTTCTCCTGCCTGGAGGACTGGAACTGGGAGAGCTGAGAAGTTAGAGGTTCTCCCAACAGTGCCCTTAGCAAAAAACTGCTATGCCTAACTCATACTTGATAGTATTAAGGATGTTATAATTTGGAGAGTACAATTTTTTTTCAAAGTTTAGCACCATTATTTGTCTTTCATCTTTACTGTGCCATACTCCTGTTTCTTTTCTTACAACCATTGTCCCATCAACAAGGAGAGAGGAACAGAGTTGTTTCAAACTTTCCAGCTCAGCACAACTTGCTGTATACTCTTATCGCAGTTCACAATTTGCAGATGGTGGGGCTTGGGATGGTTTGTTGGTTGGTTGGTTGGGTTTTTTTGAGGGACATGTGTCTGGTTTTTATCTTTACACAGAAGTTTAGTTTTAGCCAGCTTCCCCCCAGGAGTAAGAGACCCAACCATAATGCTGAATATTGTTGGGAGGATGATCATGAGAGTAAATTAATTTCGCAAGGTTCTGATAGGGAAACAAATTGAAGAAGTAAATAAATAAGTTGTCCTCTGTTTGTTATACCATAATTTAAAACCAAAAGCCAAACATAGTTTTAACTAATGCATTGTTTTGCTTTGTTTTGTATTTTAGAAATATGGCAAATTAACATCTTGTACTGGCTGCAGAGCTCAGTGCAGGTTTTTTGACATGACTCAGTGCATAGGACCTAATGGATATATGGAGCCATACTGCTCAACTGCATGCATAAGCACACACAAATCAAAATATGCAAAATCACAAAGTAAGTGAAAAGGATGATGGATTTTCATCACTGATAAGAGTAGACTTTTTTTTAAGTTTGAACACCGGGGGTGGGTTGTTTTGTTTTAGAATTCATCTGTGCAGGTGTGACTCCATAGGTTTTAAAACTTAAAAAAAAAAAATCATCTTATATTCAGTGCTAGTAAGTGGACCCATGAGGAGTTGTTTTCCCCACTGGCCTTTTTGCTTGATGTCGGAAACAGTTTTAAACTGTCTTAAGGCTTCCTGGGAAAAAAACTTGAGATGTAATGTGCTCTGGTGTGTCACAGAATGGTAGTGCAATTTTCGTGCAAATGAAGTAGTATTCTCTTGTTTGTGATCCAGCCCCACCCCATTTTATCTCCTCAAGCAACAACTGTAGAAGGTTAGAGGTAGTTATAATGTATATGGATATTCTCTAGGCAAAGTTTTTAATTTGGGTGAAAGGAACTCGTAAATAACTCAAGACACGTTCTTCAGTATGCAAAGCAGACGTAGATCTCCATTCAGCAAACTCAGTTGAAAATGCTGTAGTGAATTTTATAGAAGAAGGTGCAGTTTTGTATTTAGTGCTGATCTTCAATGGAAGATTTCAGTAAAACCTCTGCAATTTCTTTTGTTTTATGTGACTTGTAGAAGCTGACTGGAACACGGACAAATCTTAGCTTTTTACATTGAAATGGTGGGAAGAGCTGACTGGTAATCCAGTATTTTTTTTTTTTTGCACTACTATTTTGTGTTAATTTTGTTTGTAAACTACGTTTTTCTTTTAGGTATGGGAATTATTTGCCACTTTTGTAAACGAAACTCTTTACCTCAATATCAAGCCACAATGCCTGATGGAAAAGTATACAACTTTTGCAGTTCCAGTTGTGTAGCTAAATTTCAGGTTAGCTGTTGTGTTAAATCTTTTCCTCCCTAAATATTTGTGTACCTGTGTTTGTGTTGAAGTATTTGCATATTAAACTAACTTGCTTATGTATACATGTTTATGAATTATAATTAACATAGATGTTTCTGGCTGATAACAATTTCTTTGATCAAAGTACTGTTTTGTAATAATAACAGTAGCTGCTATCTTAAACTTATAAAATTGGATAATAACAACCCATTTCTCCTTGATACTGCAAGAAAACACAAAGCAGTATCCCTGCTCATCTTATTTTTACCACCCCAGCCTCTTTATGGAGATGAACCTTGCTGTTTTGCACTGAAGATCAACAAGTTTCATCTCTTCTATACTAAATACAGTAACAAAATTCTCATGTTGAGTATTGTACTAAAGAAGGTGTGTTATGGAGAATAGTGAGTGTCTCTGAAGTGAAAGGTTAGAGCCTAAGCCATTAGAACATTAATGGATGAAACTAGCCATTGAAATTGCATCCAGAAACCAGAGTGTTGCAAGCCTAATGATAAGCACACTGGAAGAGGCTGCTATGCTTGTTGAAAATGTAATCTTTTTAATATGACTTAAGGTTAAAGCATATGTAAAATGTGTTTGTAGTGATTAATCTCTGGGTGATCAAAGAACATTTTTAAGGAAAATGTTTCAATTTTTGAATGTAAAACCAGTTTTCCCAGATGTAGACTATATAATTGTCAATTGCCTCTTCATGTGTTGTTGAACAGTTACACCTGTACAGGGTTTTCCCATTTGTCATTGAACTTTGATGTTTTCTGTCAACTGGGAAGCAAATCCATCTCTTAATTGCTTCCTTAATATGCCCTGGATAGGACCTCCATCATGTAGCCCTGTTCTTTGCTTCCATCCTGACCAACTTAGTAGATGTCTGTCAATGGAACTGATTAACAAAATAGATGCAGATTATTGGTATGTAATGGCAAATCTGTAATACTTCTTGCAAACTCATTCGCCATCTATTTTATTCTACATGGTCTTACAATTGATTGCAGCTCCAAGAGCTCTCAGAACAAAACCTTTCTGCTATTTGAGTGAGGAAAATAAAGCTAGTGAATGTGAAATAGAGCCTGGGCCGCCTTGGATTTGCAGATGAGCCAACATTAAGCAACATTATGGAGTGTAACTGCTGGATCAGTTGATGCTGGTTGCGGGTTTCTGATCTTACCAACACCTCACTGATGCTTCTGTTGCAGTTTCAGTGCTACACGTAGTTCTGTCTCTTTAGTGTTGGAGTGGAGTTTAATTAGAGCAGCCATACAGTCTGTGAGTTCTCAGTAAAGACCGAGTAGGCAGTCACTTCCTTGCAGTTAGTTTGCTCAAACGTCTCTATCAGATTAACTTTTGATAGTTTTCATACATTTACTGTCTAGAAGAGTAAAAGGTGTTCACCGTTAGATAAGAGTTGATTGTATGAGAACAGCTTTGTTTGTTCACTTAGTATTTAGATGGAAAGGATGGTATACCACAATGTGAGCACTGGACTCCAAGTGTTCTTCCCTTCAGACTTTTTTATACTTAAGTGACACATAAGGGATTGAACCTAAATTGAGAAAATGGTTTAACCCATTTGGTCAATTGCAATGATTTCTGCAATGAGCTTTTGAAAAAAATGGCAGATTTACTGTGGTGCTCCATATTTTTCACCGTTTACTGATGCATATAACTCTTGTTTTAATTTTCTGGAATTACGTTAATCCCTTTTTCTTACTGTGCCTGTTCTTGCTGTGTTTTCCTTTGTTAGGGGTTACCCTTCTCAGAACAGAATAACTGCTCTTTCAGGTCTTTGTTTCACTTCTGCAAAAATTTTAGTCCTTTTGGTTTATGAATAGGTTGAAATATTTAAATTCACAATTTGTTTACAGTACTTTACAGTTGATTGTAATTTTATCTTACAAATAACCTTTTGTTCCTAGCTAGCTGTTGTTTTAATGTATTAAAGTATTTGGAAGATTCAGTTGAGCTGCTTGTTGTGCAATTTATGTCCATATCTATATTTCCCTTTGTGCAGACAGCTTGCAAGAGTATTCATCCTTGCAAGAAGAAGGTAAAAGAGGGAAAATAGCCTGCTTGATGTGATTTTTGTTTGGTAGTTGGTGGTACAATAGTGTGACGGTATCTTGTCTCCTTTCATGCTCTGTCTTGGAGAATGTTATTGCAGAGTTAAGGACAGAACTGTTCCAAAGTTGTATTGTTTTAAGGTAGTTTTGCTATCAGTGTCTTTACTGGGTCAGTTGAAGATCTTGCTCTGAACTTGTCTCTTAAGGAAAAATAAACTGCTTATTTATTTATTGTTAACATGGAGGCTGTAGTACAGGTGTCTTCCCAAAGTTAGCAACTGTATAAGTGTCTTATAGCAATTTACAAGTGTCTTAAAGTACAAGCTATCTTGCAAAACATGAGTCTATGTAAAGGTAAAAAAAAAAAAAGCCTTGTGCTAAAGCTATGTTTTGGGGTTTTTTTCAATTTATGGATGCATCTGGAGAGTTGTAGGACCAGTATGTTTAAGAATTATAAGTACTGTGGTTTTTAGCAGGTTACTCACTGCATATTCACTAATGTTGCGTTGTCTTTCACCATCATTATGGTGCCTGTGTCTCTAAGTGTTCTTCATTATACACCTTACATTTCTCTATCTGCTACACACACCTATACATATATTTGGAAAAAGGGAGTACATTGCGGTGAGAAGCATGGAGGGAGCTTGGCATGCTTGTCACAGAAATACTTTTCCAAATTTGATCATAATAAAAACAATTGAGGCTTCCATGCTGAGGCTGGGAGGTCTGTATGTGCATGAATATAAGGAGGAACATTTGGTTCTTTCCCTGTTTAGTGGCCTTGATTTTGCTTGTGGAACAGTCCTAGTGGATGACCGTATGTAAAAGATTCCTCATACGTATTTGCTTCTCTTTTTCAGGTTAAGAACAACTTAATTCTTTCAAGGTTATTTTTTTCTCAACTTGTGAAAGTACTGGCCACAGTCTGTTTGCATGCTAGCCCTTCCACATATACATTTATATATAGAAGTGATTCCACAATTTGATTTTGTGTTGCTGTGAGCAAGGATAATCAGTCTATTGTTTATACTGCAGGGGCAGGGCAGAAGCTGTGCTACTGTGCTGGTCTTCTCAGAAGAGTCCTAGGCTGTGTCTGCCTACTGTTCGTTTGTAATTTGGCAGCTTAGAGCAGTTTGAGGTGGTTGCATTGGAGGATGAAAAGGGCTTTACAATGATTTTTTGTTTTGCTTGAACTTCGCATGCTCTTGTTGTTCAGGGCAGGCTCAAGAAAGCTCAGATTAAACATAACTATTTTTTGACTGAATTTAAGACATTCAAAAGAGCACATTATATTTATTTATGGTTTCAAAGATACTTTTGATAAAGCACAATATTGATAAAAACTTGCTGTTGGGGGTGACCTGTGAAAGATTTTAATGAATTTATGATCTTTTTTGCTGCATTGTTCTGTGTGCATAATAATGCTCCCAAGTAATTCCTAAAGATACTCTCTATTCTAAGCATCTTGTAAGTTAAAGGCAAAGCAAGGTGATGAGAATACTTATGTGCATGTCATCTCGACTCATTAAAACACTATACAGAAGCAGACCTTAGTTGTAAGCAGGATAATAGAAACTTTAAGGAGGCGTACAAAGTCATGTTGTGATTAACTGTTGGTTTTTTACAACTGTATTCTGCTTGGTTTAGTTTCAGAAATATGAATTCAGTTTGTTACTGATTTCTGTAGGAAAATAGTTCATTTTAAGAGTGTTTGACAAAAAAATTGGTTTTGTTTTAGAAGCAGTAAGGCTTAATTTTTGAGGTTTTTATCTATAGTTAGGTGTAAATATTATTTAACACAAGTTTTAACTTTAAGCAATCTCAAACTCCGTTGTTCTCACTTCTCTAGCTTTTGTTATTGTTCAGTTACCAGCCCCCATGACTTAGGTAGGGCCTGAATTTCTACCACAACAAACAGTTGGGAAAAAAATAAAAGAAGCTAATGATGCCATGCATCAGAGAACAACAAAAAAACCCATGGTTTACTTTTAACTTGTAGCCTTCACAATAGGGTGTTTTGATCCCATATTTAAAGGTAATTGCAGACATCAAAAAATATGTTCAAAAAATATGTTCACTTTTCATTTGATGAGTGCTGAATATATTCCGTCTTTGTTCCTCCCTCAGTCTTCAGTGTTTCTGTACAGGTTGTCACATGTTCTTTAGTACTTCCTTCATTCCTGAACTGGAGGTGGTGGGTATACTTGCTTCTTGATTTCTTTTTGTTTTCAACCAGAATTTCTAGGACTTCCATTGTGTTTACATAACCCATATGGCAGCACATGTTGAGCATGGTGTTTGCAAATGCAGAAATGTGCAGACTGGACCTTGAACTTTTAAAATGCCTTTGTGGCTCCCATGCTAGCATGAGTCTTCAGCTACCTGTTCAGAGCAGCCAAAGTCTAGCAAACCTCTCTCAGCCGCAGGGACGTTTGCTGGATATAGTGGGAGAAATATGATAATACTGTATGTGGGCATCAGACGCTGTTAAAGTTGTTACAGGACAATGGACCATTGTGATAAAGGTGGCATCTTTTCTGCAGTATGTGGCATTTCATTCTCAGGTCCTGACCGTGACTGGGAAACGTGCATGACTACTTAATGTCTGCAAACTCCTGATACAGAATTAGCGCATCTGCATAAAATGATACCGATACTAGCTAGCACTCAGCAGTACTGGTCTGCTTATGTGGGGGCTTATATCAGTAACCAGCGTCATCACAAATTTTTATGGGGTTTTTTTTTTTAGTGTAGGTGAACCCTTAGTACCATGACAGTCTAAAGCAAAGTGTCCTGTGGCAGAAATATTCTACATTTTCACTGTTAAAGAGGTGGAGAGGTAGTAATAAATCTGTCTGAAGAGAACTTGTCATCTTTAAATACGTTTATCTTGTTGCAAACAGTGTGGGAAAGTTTGTTGAGAAGATGGGTGTTAGAAATTTGTCCCCTGGATTCTTCAAGTGACTCTGATCACTACTGGTTCAAATTTTGTCTTGAGTATAGCATGTGTAATACACCAATAGTTGTTGCTTCATCTGGGGAAAGTGCTGAAGACTATGTCCTATAGTCATATAAGACCTACTGGAAGACAGATGATGTAAAATTGAGTTCTCTATCTACTGATTGTGTCAGAAATGCATGAAGTGAATTATTCAGTTACAGAATTAAATTTCCATACCTACACGTGCAATCTGTTGTATTTTTCTCAGTGTGAAAACCCTTAATTATTTAGGGGCTGGCTGTTTGAATGATTGCATCTTTTGGCCGTGATGATTGAGGGCAGCTAGGACTATTAGCTAGTTTTCTCTTAATCTGAGTAAATGCAGGGTTTTTCACGGAAGGCCTTCTCCTTCAGTATTTGTATTTTCAAGTGGTATGCTTCAGTAAGGTGTTGATAATCTGCCTTGGTGAGGTTTGGATTTGAAAATATTTGTTTGTAGGTCTTTCTCTGAACTTCTGTGACCAAAATAAGGCAAGCTGTGAAGTGTATGGATCTGAAAATATATGTTTTGTGATTAACAGATATTCAGTTTTGGGAGACTGGTTGTGTGGTTTGTATTTTTGTGGGGTTTTTTTTTTTTGCATTTACACTTAAATAACAGGCATTGGAAAGGTAAAGTTAAAAAATATGACCTAAAGTAATTACAGTGGAAACAAAGGTAAAAATTCAAGATTTGAAAACCTGTGATGACAAGTGAAAAGACTAACCTCATGTGCTTTTGCCAGAAATGCTCCTGAGTTTGTTTATAAGCTCACAAATTCTCAAACACTATAGGCTTAATAGCAAAAAAAAAAAGTAACTTTATTTTTAGTGATGTGTATGTATATTTATGTTTTTCAGACTCTTAGTGTGCAGTCTTCAACAAATGGTCAGTTTGTCTCTCCCAGTGATATTCAGTTGAAATGTAATTATTGCAAAAGTTCTTTTTGTTCAAAGCCAGAAGTACTGGAATGGGAGGTAAGGGGATTTTTGGTGTTATTTTTAGAATGATGGAGTGTTTAAAAGTTTAAACCTTTAACTACAATACAATTTTTGTATATAGCTATTTTATAAGGTATTGAAGCTTAAAAAAAAAAATTTAAAATCTACCTGGTTCTGTAGAATATAATTTAACTTCAGTATGGATAAAAGAAATCTTTCTTCATAAATAACAAATAAAAAAGCATCTGGAATTTAAAGAAAAATGTAATTTCTCACGTCAGCTCTAAGTTTGAAATCTGCTTTCATCTTCAGTTATTGTATTACTGTAGATGTGATAGACCATTGTTACACTTCTGTGTTAACTGAGAGAAGTACCTGAAGAGGATATGCTAAGATTGATGGACAGATTTTCTGTTGAGCATTTTCATATAAAATTATGAGTATTTGTAGCACTCACTGTCAGCTTGAGTGAGAGTTGTTAATTTTTACCATTAGAAATCTTAAGCTAATTGTGTGCTTGCACTTCTGTTTGCATGTTAAAGCTGTATCTTAACAGCAAACTATTATTTGAAGTTGCACTCTCCAGTTCTTATGATGTTATCTGTCAGCCCTGTTCATGACGCTTTGCAACTTTGCATTTAGAACAAAGTGTATCAGTTCTGCAGCAGAGCATGTTCTGATGATTATAAGAAACTACACTGCATAGTTACATACTGTGAATACTGTCAAGAGGAGAAAACGCTGCATGAGACTGTGAATTTCTCTGGCATCAAAAGACCATTTTGTAGTGAAGGTATGTATGTATTTGGTTTTTTTCTAAGGTCTTGGTCGTTGTAGTTTTACTGCAGTTGACTTACTATGTTAATATTTAGTGTTGAAATTTAAGGTAACAACTCATTCTGCTGTGTTTGAGGCTGAAACAGAAGTTTCTTCATTATTGTTAATGGAGTGCATGTACCGGTTGTTATTAGTGCATGTACCTGTTTATCTGAGCTGCTTTTATAGTCTTTTGAGTTTTCACCACTTACTCCAGGTTAAGGAAGAGTGGGCAACACTCTTAAGTGTGTGTGTGTATAAATACATACACATACATATATGCAAAAAAACCCCATAATTTATTTTTTTACATTTATGCAGGAGAACCTATACCAACACTAACTGCATTGAGGAATACCAATATTAGTATTTTCAAAGTTTAATATGACGGTGAAAATTCTTTCTGTGTTGGCTTAGAATGGTTATTCAAGCAATAACTTGAATGATGTCTGTTGATGTATGTTGATTGCTGTCATTGTAATTTTCCTAATGATTTGAATTTTGAAAAAAGAAAATAAAGTAAAAAGGAGGTATATGGGCACAGGATTATTTTAAGTTGCATTAAAATATTTATTGTTTTAATAGAAACCACAAAATACCATCTTAATAAGAACCTATCCTTTCCACTTCTGTGATACTGGTATTTAATCCTGATCTTAGAAGTTTAACTACAAGTTTGGATGACCTATCTCTGGAGGATATAGTGAATATTTTTTTCTTTAGCTATAATAGTAATGCTTACACTATCATTTGATAAACCTTGTTGAACATTCTCTGCTTTCAAGCAGATTAACAGCAGGTATGCTTGTAGCAGGATCCTTTTAACCTGGAGAGCGGTAGAATGCAGGGCCGGAGGCAGTCTTCCCTCCATGCCGTTCCCTTATAGCTCTGGACTCTGCAGTCTCTTGTTTCTGATGAATGGAGTGTGGTGGCTTAGGTTTCTTTGCCATCATTACTTTCTTCTTGTGTTCTGAACTGCAAAGTGATAGCTGGAGAGGAAAAAAGGACAAAGCAAGGCCCAGTTTTACAGTTTTATTGCAATGCTCAGTAACATCTAGCTAGAAATAGTTTCTCTGAATAAGCCTGAATAAGCAATTCCACAGAATATATTCCAAGAGAAGAGCAAGCTGGTTTTGGCCTGGAGCAGTATATGCTGGTATTACTGTGAGTACTCTTGACTCCTTCATTTTAGAGCCTGGTGGCTGTCACAATGAAATCCATAAGATTCATAATGTGACCTGTGCCATATTACTGCTTCTGTAGATATATTTCTGTACGAGGAGGCTTGAAATAAGTGAGGACTTGTATTTCCTATTGGAAAATTTGAGGAAGGAAAGAAATATAAACTCTCTCTCCTGCATGAATGCAGTTACTAAATGGGGGAGATTCCATTGCTGGATGTCTTAGTATGGGTCCTGAGTTTGCATGTGTTGAACTGCCGGCTTGAGAGCAAAGATGGTCTTTATGAAGATGGATATGCCGAATGTTACCATTAAAACAGTTTATTGGCTTACTGTGATGATTTGAACCACTGAGTAATAGAGAAAGTAGTCAAAAGCACCATTAAGTAGAAAGTAACTTCAATAAATATGGCACACACTTGCTAGCTGTAGCTTAGGTCTACTTTGTGATGCATGTGAAAAAAGCTGTCTGTGTTACCCAGTTAAAATAAACTGCTGACCTGGACAGAAGCTCTGTAGAAACAACCCAGGGCCTGTATTTTAAGGGAAAACCAACGATCGTCATTGCTACGGACATAATGGAATCCAAGAGTTAACAGTGTTTAAATCTGACGTGGGGAGGAGAGGGCCAGGTCTTTAAATGGACCGAGTGGAGGTCAACAAATAGAAGTTCCATCATCAGAGGCTGTCTTTCCCCTTTTCCAGGCCCCCAAGCATCATGACCCCGATGTCACAGCCTTTTTCCAGAAGTATATCCAACTGTAAAGTAGAAAAACTAGTAGATGAACCAAATAAGCTTACTGGGTATGGAGGCTGTGCTGGTTTTGATATTGCAGAGTGCTCAAGAACCTTCACTAATGTAGATTATTTTGCTGAGCATGCAATTATTCTTCACCAGAAGACAATATATTACAATTTGAGACGAAATAACCTAAGGTGCTCAGTCACAAAAGTTAGTGGCATTTTTTGGAGAACTTGAACTCTCAAGGGAAAATACTGCAAAATTTCATGTGTGTATTTATAAAAGAAGGCTCCTAGATAAAATCAACAGAAGTTAAACAGGTGTTGAAATTCCTGCGAGAGTGCTTAATTGCTTGTCTTCAAGCAAACTGATGGGAAAGTGTGTGTAAAGATCAACCCACAGGTACCCCTTGACTGCTTATGCCTGCCTAGCCGGAGTACTGAAGATGTCATTCCTCTGCTCGCATTCGCTGTGCCTGAGGTTTTTTTAACATGTGCACATACATGTGTATTTACACACAAACCCTGGCACCCACATTAAAGTCTCTGGGATCAGTATTTCTGTGCAGTTTCATTCTGCATCTATTTCTTTATATGTTTCTATTGAGATATTGAAAAATATGTGCAGTGGCCAGCTGAAACTTCCATTGCAATAAGGTGTAATTAGAAGTGACCTAGCATTTATGTTAAAGATGCTTATTAATTCTTCTGTGGAGTACAGTATGCATTTTCTGTTTCTGTCCAAAACTTGGATGCTATGTGGAGGATGAAAACCTGAACGGACTAGTTGAAAGAGTTTAATTTGTTGTCCTGGTGCTGAGGCTTTGGAAGTTAAACTGTCCTGGTGTTTTGCCACTAGAATGCCTCATTCTGAACTACCGGTATCTAAAGTAAATAAGATGTATATTTTGTATGCTAAAGCAAGAAGATCAGGGTTGCTTGTGGATTTTTATGTATGTGTAGTTGTATGAGTGACAACTGAGGACTGGCTGTGCAAGTTTTTAATCCTAAGGAAATCTTTTAAGTTATTGAGTTTTGGGGTTTTTCAATATATATCCCTTGTGAGGGTCTAGGAGAACAAATAGATCTTTGGCAATCTAGCATTGGAACTATTTTATGATGAGTATCACCATAACCTTTTTTACTTGTAGATTTATTTTGCATTTAATTGATTTTTCAATAGAACTGTTATGATTTAAATAACACAGGCTTCGTAGTAATTTTATAATGTGCATTTTAGTAACACTGACTCATATGCAGTAGTCTGCTTCTTGGAAGGAAAAGGTCAGTAAACTGTAGAGTAACTGACTCATCTGATGCTGGGGAGTTCCTTTCAAATGAATAGTACAGATAAAGGACAGCTGTGACACTAGCAACTGTACTGTTATCTTTATAGTGTGCTAATAGGTTTCTGTGAATTACAAATTCTGCAAATTAATGTAAACTGTTCTGATGTTGCATCTTAAGTAGAGATAACCCCTTTTGAAGTACTGTAGAGCTGACAAGTGGAATAAGAAATTGAAGAAATTAGGTGATGTCAGAACTGAATATGTGTGGGAAAGGTGTATGTTTAGTTAAAGCATTGTAGATTTTAGAGTGGCTTTTTTCCAACCACTGCTGCACGGTGGATTGTTCAGTAAAGTATACTATTTAATGTTCAGTTGATTAATATTTAGATTTCTATGAAGACATTACAGATATTGGGAATAGCCTAAGCCATGAGTGTGTTAAACTTTATACAGGTGCTAACGTATGAATGTTTCACAACCAGTTAAGATATTACCTGAAATGTATAGCAATTCCTGTTGTTACTAGAAACATTAACAAACCGGTTTCAAAACAGATGTTTCATGGGAAGCATTGCTAAGATTTAGTTCTAGTTGCTGGGCTTGTCTGCTTGGTGGGGACTGCACAGAGGAAGAGTTGGTACGGTAGCTCTGCCGGGCTGAGCTCCTGTGCTCCCCTGGGCGAGGGAGGTTGCCATTGAACCTGCTTGAACCTCTTAGTTCCTGATGTTTGGTTTCATTATTTCGAAACGTGAGAGCTACAGAAACAGTTTAAACGCAGCTTTTTTTATAGTTTACATTATCAACTATCTATTTTTAAAGACACTGATACACCTTTTAAAAATACAATGTACAGAATTTGGGCTAAAGCACTCATTTTTATGAAAAATTTTGTGACACAATTACAACTTCCTAACAGCACGCTGCGTTGCAGTAGGACTTCATACAGCTATCAGGGATTGGTTAGTAGTATAGAATGTAGTTCCAGGGGAAAAAAAATGGTATTTAGTATAGGTAAAATTGCATATCACAGTTAAGTGTTTTGCATAATAAAGATCTTCTGTTACAAGCTCTTGGGTTTGTGCTTCACAGAGCCATTATCTCCCTCTTTGCAGCTCTGACAGTGGCTTACCATGTTAAAATAACTTGTGCTTGCTCTGGTACTTTTTCAGCTTTAGCCTACGATGTTAGACGGTTTGATTTTGCTTCTGACCTTTGGCATTGTCCCTCTGAGATAAATTCTGACCTGAAATACGAGTTTTCTTGTGGCTTTCTTTTGAAAGTTTGTTTGTTGCTGAGTGGGACTATCTTGGCAAAAGGGGACAAATAAAAAGCAAAACGTGTCTTTAATACTGTTAAACGTATGATCCATAAAAATGCCCTTTCACAGTTGCAGGAGTCATGTTGTTACTGAGGGAAGGTACTTCTCCTTTCCCACAAATCAGGTTAGCAGAAAAGTGAAAGTCGACTTCAGAGGGATTTTGAGGTGCCCGAGTTATTCTGCAAGGATATGATTTCCTTTGACCGCTATGAACAAAAGTTACAGTGGATCCCTGACACCCATTTGAGCCACAGCAGTTTTTTGTTAGAGAACTCTGATTGGCACAATGTGGTTCCTCAGGCCACGTCATCTTATTTTGTAGTCTGGTACTAAATCTTTGAGCTGCAGACGACTGTTCCAGACAAATTCTGTTACTGTAGAAGCTCAACGATACTTTTCTGCTGATAAAAATGAGTGAAGGTAAAAAAGACAGCGTATTCGGACTGGAAAAGTCCCTTATGAAATACTTCACAGGCTCCCTTGCTACAGAAGCACCAAGTGAAGTCTCTTGGCTGTGCTGAAGGAAAGCACAGGTCTGCTCCTTCCTGATAAGCGCACATAGAAGAGCTGTAGAGTTGGTTCTGGCGGTATTCCAGGAGTGGGAGAGTCTGATCGTGTAGATGTTGTTTCCAACTAGTACTACTTGGATGCATATCTTCTGGAATGACTTGAAAATTTTAACTTGTTAACCTGAATTTTGGTACTTCTGGTGGTGTAGTTGAAAAAGTCAAAAGATAGAACTATGCTGAGGAAGAGATTATATGTTTATCTTCCCTCTGTCTTTAGAGGGAGAGCATTGATACTGTTCAAGTAACATAATTTAAATTTTAATTTGAGTACAGGCTGTGCTGAATCTTCAGATTTTTCATTCATGGAGAGCTAATTTCTAACATGGTAAAAAATATAAAGTGACATCCTATGCATTGTTTGACTACAGTGGTCCTTATTAGATTGACATTCTTCGGTGTTAATTCCACTGTTGTGTCTTTGAAGAGGTTTGAGACAGTTCTTTAAGCGAAGACAGCATTAGCTGTTGCAGATAAGGGGTGATGACAATTTAAGGTGCTGAGATTACGAGCACAAGAAGAAAGCTTATGAAGATGCTTCTCATTAACCTGAAAGAATAACCAACTTGAAAAGATTTAAGAACAAGCAAAACCTCAGTAACTGGATGGGAGTAGGAGGAACAAGAAAGGAAGGAGCTAGTATCTAATATCAGAAAATATTAGGATAAACTGAGGATATATAAAAAATGAGTTAAATAATAAAAGGTTCTTCAGCAGAAGACAAGGAAGGAAGTGGGATACACAGCTTGTCTGTTACGCAGAGAGGATGGGGTCTATTTTAATGGTAATCCAAGCGGGACCCAAAATTGGATGCATTGCATCTGTTTTCCTAAGAATGGTGATGTTTATTGTGAAGCCAGAGACGGATGATAGGAATGTGGGTATGGAAGAGGTGAAAATTGCATTTGAATCAATAGACGGAGACAGCAGAAAGATGTGTATGGAACATAGCTCCAGAAATCTTCAAGACCTAGCTTGTGATGCTGCAGGCTTCTTGATATTACAGGCTTGTGATATGACAGGCCTGTTATTCCTCTCTGGGTTAAGTTTTTAAAGGATAACAGTTGAAGTTATTACAAGGTAAGAGAAAAGCAAGACTTGTATGTAGCTTGAAGGAGGAGGAAGGTAGTCCAGTAAGTACAGCCTTTCAGAGGAAAAAAATAAATTGGTTTCAGGACAGAACAGTTACTTTCTATAAAAGATGTTCTTCTCTGTGGTAAAAAGAGACTGGTGTTGAGGTCTCAGGAAGTGTTTCTGGTTGAGCGTTCCTTTTTCACAGCTGCTTGATGTGTGAGTGTACTGAACTTTCCGTAATTCGGGTAGGTGCTGCTGGTGGAATAGGATTGGGTTCTTGCTGGCTTGCTTGCACTGAGTCTGCAGACAGTCAAGTGAATCATGTTTCCTACCATGGGTAGCTCTGCAGGGCTGGACCTGGCAGTTCCTGGGTCTGCTCTCTTGACCTGGAACATGCCTGAAGTAAATGTTTGGAGGAATTGTTGGTATGTTATCCTGTCAGTAAGCCTCTGTTCCATATGTTCGGATCCTTATCCTCTCTCTATATGGGGAACCACAGTTCAGGGCTGTTGGAGGGGATAGGTTTTGTGTTGGGTTTTGCTTGGATGCCAGAATTCTAGTAGCATAATTAAGGATACACTACATTGATTTAGCAGTTACTCAGCTACTTCTTTTTTGCCTAGTCCAGATTTTGAGTTGGAGATGGTTCATCTGAAAATGCTCCTGAATGGTCTTTCTGAGACAGTTGACTTGTGGGGTGGTCTTCTGTTAGAACTTTGCTAAAGAACCTAATTGATTACCTCTGTAGCTTGAACCAAAAGAGCATTTTTCTTTGAAATTAAGAGCTATTGTCTCTAGCACTAGAGATTTCCATCTGGTCACGCTGTAACTTGTGTGTCTGGTGTTACAGCAGAAATCCTGAGGAATTTAGGATTTTACTCGTCTCTGTTTGTTCAGAATTTTGTGGCTGTCAGCTGTTTGTCTCGGGCAATGCTTACACTCATGAACCCCAAGTCCCCAGGGGACTTAGGCTGGCCAAACCCTCAGGTTTTTAGTGTTGATATTGGAAATATCAGACAACCAGTGCTTTTTGTACTACTTATCCACGGTGTACTGTCAGTCAAAGCCCACTTCTTGGTCACATCTACAAAGCCAGCGCAGATGCTACTGCTCTGTTGATTCAGGATTTAGATTGTGCACTTCAAAGACCAAGTTGTTTGAGCTCAGAATCTGCTTTGTCAAAGGTGAATACTTTTTCTGTACTTCAAATAAAGTTCTACTGTTCCAGTCCAAACCATGGTATTATAATAAAAAGTTACATCCTAGGTATGCACAGAATACCAAGGACCTAGTTAAAAATACATCCTGTAAATAGAAAGGCATTTTGTTTTCCCTTCATCTGGAGTGACAAGATCTTGAAGCAACCAAATGTTCCCTGGTCAGATGGATTGTTACATATTACAAAGACAGAAAAAAGTGTCAGACAAATCTGAAGAATTTTGCTCATTATGTTGCAGAAAGAAAAGCCTGTATTTCCATTTTAGAAGTCTTCATGGTTGTAACAATCTTCTGTCAACATCTGAAGTTTTATAAAGATGGATTTTCCATCTTGTGTAGAGGCCTCCCTGAACAAGAAGCCCTGAAGTCAGTGATCTTTAAAAAAACCTGTTTTCAGGCTTAAGGGCTATAATTTTGGACTTTTTGTTTCCCCTTAATGTTCACTGCTCATTATTTTGCATGAGTCAGAGAGATGTGGGAGATGTTTGACTGTAGAATGGAAAATTTCTTACCTGATAACGTTTTTTATGCAACAGCAGTGTTATCTTCAATTTTCCTCCCTACAGTTTAGCAGCCAAGAAAAATGTCAACTTTGTCCATTCCTTTTTGTAGACTAATTAGCTTACCTGATTGGATTAGATTACTAATCTATAGTCTTGAAAGGTTGATGCAGCATTGAGTGGCTATTCTAAGGCACAGGTGAAGAGGATACATTGTGGTCCTGAGCTATCTCTGGAATTGTAAAGAAGTGGAAAGAATCTGATGCCCCATACAATAATGACAGGTACAGCCAGCAGGAAGAAATACTGGCAAGAAATTTTCAGTGCTTTAGTGGGTACTTTTAACTAGTAGCTTGCACACCCTGATATCGTCAGGATTATTATTTCCTTTAGAGCAGTGTGTTTAACATCCAAATTAGTTGCCCTGTAAACACAGTTGCTTGATTTGGCACTTACCATCTGCACTGCCTGTTTTGTGGGATAGTAATTTTCTTTATTCTGTTGTTAAAGAATCAGGTATATAGCTAAAAAAACCCACAGTCATTACCTACAGTGCCTTACTTGTGTGATGTTCTGTAATTGTCTTGTTTTGATATTGCTAGCAAATTCAATTTGTTGGCAAAGCTTGTAGCATTGCAAGTAAAAATCTTGGTTTTGGAAGATGCTGTCTGCCACAGATTCCATTTGCATTCTTGTGTTTTTTAGAGATTTTAAAATAATATCTCAGTTTCACACATATGAAATTCTACCCTAACAACAGCACAAGTCACTTAATTGAAATTTCTGAATACGTTATAGTTATTGTATTTTTGTATTCTGTATGTCAGCAGAAGTGGAACATATATGTTACATGTTGAGGTTCATAATTTACCAGAAGTACAAAAGTCTCTATGTGTTAGACTATATGCCCTAGCAGGTTGGGCACTTGGAAGACCTGAGTTCTGGTCTTGGTGGTACTGTGATACTTGGGAGATCATAAAAACAGGTGCAGTACCTTGTATTAAAGGTCTGTGTAGATGTTGTCTTGTCCCTGCAGTGTTTAATGTAGACAGTTATTTCATCTTCTTATACTGTTCTGCGCTGTAAGATTAGCACAATTACAGAGTTATATGGTTTATAATTTAGGCATCAGCTTCAAGACAGTAGATTTGAGGTAAATACATTATATTCTCAAAACAGCCTATGTAATAGCTACAGTGTTTGTGTTTTAATGCATTTAATACGTTAGAATGTTTTCTAATTTGCTTGAGGGAGGATCAGGTTATTGAAGAATATAGCTCTTGTTATGGTAACCTTGAAATTATAACTGCGTAGCAAAGGCAAAAAAAAAACCCCAACCTGCCTAATGTGAAAAGGAAAAAATAAAGTATTCATTGCATACAAATCGTACACCAATTTCATATGCAGACTCCTATCACTGTGTAATTATTCTCAGTACTGATAATTGCTTACTTTCCTCAGTTCTTAGGTCCTCTTGTACCAATTAGTATTCCTAAAAATTAATGAATTAAGTGGTTTGTTGTATTAATATGAATGAAAGTAGTAAGAGAAGTAAGTTGATCCTTGAAGATAGGTATTGTTTTAGTGGCTAGTGTTGTCTAGCTTAAAATTTGTGCTCATCATTGTCTGGATATCTAGCATTCTGAGGATATGTAACTGAGCAGTGTAATTCCAAGTCAATGATTTTGCATGGGTCTGTATGAAAAGAAGATTCAGTGTTTTTCCTGACTATTTGTTCAGGGATTTGGTAAGCACAGATTCAAGCATAGTGTTTTGAAAAAGATGCAGACATCACTTGAAACCATGGAGTTATGCAGGAAAGGCATTAAAGTAAAAATGTCATGCAATATAGTCTATTATGCAACCTGAATTTGCCTGAAGCCCCAATTGTTAGCTGTTGTTATATTCATTTAATTTTCAATATTTAACTCTTTAACTGTGATATCTCTCTGTAAAAATTACTTTGTTCCTAATGTTTAAAATCTGTTTCCAGGCTGCAAGCTGCTATATAAACAAGACTTTGCAAGACGGTTAGGACTGAGATGTGTTACTTGTAATTACTGCTCACAGCTGTGCAAAAAGGGAGCAACTAAGGAACTTGATGGTGTAGTGAGAGATTTCTGCAGTGAAGAGTGCTGTAAAAAATTTCAGGACTGGTACTACAAGGCAAGTAACTCAGAATTTTTGACAAGAGCTCCGCAGTTAAAAAAAACCAAAAATGCACATGTGAGGATATCTCAAGGACTGTACAGCAAATACAGCTTACTTCAGCAAAGCATTTGCTACACAATAAGCAAATGTATTAATTTCATCATGTGATTTTTCTTAGATCTTAGAGCAGCATTTCTACCATCTGATTTTATTAATTTATTTGGCAAGGAAGTCTTGAGTTACAGAAAAAAACAGGAAACTACTATATATATTTGTTACTTTACAATTCCGTTTTTTCCTCCCCAATTGATACCATATTTTTCTTGTCACAACTTCTTAAATGTGTATTCAGACTGTTGAAAACACTGTTAATAGCAACTGGATGATGGCTTGAGTTGACTGACAATAAACTAGGTTAGCAAAGTTTTTCTTGTTCCTGTTTTTGCCTCCTTTTTTGCCTTTTCCCTTCTCCCACAGTTTGAACTGCAGAGGCTTTGGTTGTTCAGTGTTTCCCAGTGGAAAGAATGCCAAAGGGAAAAGCAAGACCAAATGGATTTCTAATAAAAGTTTAAATCAAACAGATGACATCTATTTCTAAGTCTCTGGAAGCTTAACTACCTTGTGAAGCACAACCAGCAAAGAGCTCATTTAAGAGTTTTTTTGTTTCCATTTTTTTAAAGAAATAAAGGTGAAATTGGACTGGATTTAACCTGCGATTAGTACCATAGATAAAATTGATTTCTGGTGTGAACTTCCTGGAAGGCTACACTGATAATATCAAAACAAGAACTACACTTGTGGATGCAGTTGCAAAAAAGACAGTACAAAATTCATCACCTTACCAAAACTCTGTACACAGTCTGGAAGGCAATAAAAAGCTTGAAATACTAGAGGGCTAGATACAAGTCCTGTAATTCAAGATGATCTACCTACCATAAAAAGAACTGAATCTGAAGATGTATCTGGTATTTTGGAATGGCTGGTTCCAGAAATGTTACAGACAAATGTTGTGAAGTCTTTATTTTGAATAATGTATGTAGGGTCCTGTTAGACATTTCAGAAAGAAAACTACCGAAGACCAGAATGTGCTGCTTCTGTCTCCTGTGAAAATACAGTGATGAAGCTTGGCTGCAAAGTTCTTAAACTGACTAAAATGTTAAATTCATACAATAATATTTAATCTATATGCCTTAAAACTTGGGGTATGGGGTAAAATTTATCCCTGTGTAAAAAGTGCCTTCTGATAGAGAACCTAATAATGCTTTGGTGTGTTTTAGAAATCTCTTGGTGATTCAGGAAGTAGTATAGTCTTGGGGGTGTGTGTACCAAACTAGTTTCTTATGCATAAACTTCCATGGAGCCTTGTACTTGGATTCAGGTTTGAGAACCACTTGAAAACTCTGACCTCAGGTTATCCTCATCCGTGGGATAAGGCAATAACTTAATTGGTCCATTAAGTCTGCTTAAGAAATGCTGTTGGTACTGTGGCATAGGCAAGTTAGATGTGATGCCATGAAAAGGCAATTTAATCTAAACAAACTTGCTGGTAACTTTTGATACTTTTGATGATAATGAAGTTTTAGATATTTTTACTTTTTTAATCTTACACTTGCTAGTAGAACTAGTGTTACATGATGTTGAATTGTTGATTGTCTTTTTTTTTTTTTTTTTTCAAATACTTCTTATAGCCTTTGGCTAAATTAGTTCTGGTTATAAAAGTTCAATATTTATTACATGGGGCAGACATGTCATAGGTTTTGGGAAGTTGTGTGTTTTGCAAAAATTGTCTTTTTTTCTTTTTCTTTTTTTTTTTTCTTTACAACCTTGCTGGTAACTTCTCACTCCTTTATAAAAGTCGCTCCAGATATCTTAGATTTGGTAGTGCATTGTTACCTGATGTTCTTACCTAGCCATAAATAGGTAATGATCAAAATACAGGAAGACAGAATAGATATGGACCCCTCCCCTAATTTGTACTTCATTTGCTGTTTTGTCTCTTAGCTTCTTAAAAGAGTAGTTACATATGTATGAGCTTTGTCTCATTTATGCAATGTCCAGTGTTATTTTGGAGTTTCAATGAATGTACACGTGAAGAGAAATAAAGTAGTAGTAACCTAGTAATGTTTTAACACCAGCATTGTGTTCATTAAACAAATGTTTGTCTCCATCTTCTCTGTCTACTTTTTTATGGACACATCTTTCTCGTGTAGTATTATCTTGAAAACATCTTAACTTTTAAAAATAAGTATTATGGGAGAGCTTCCCTGAATGCCAGAATTCTCTTCTTAAAAAGCCAGAAGAAGGTAGCGGTGGTAGAAGCACAACAGACTGTTACCTAGAAGTACTAGAAACACATCAGACTTACCTAAAAGTGTTCTTCAAACCTAATACGAGGAATTGAAATGTAAAAGAATAGTTCAGTCCTAATAATCTGTTGAGTGACAGCTACAGTTACCAGTTAGTGCCACGTTCTGAGGAAACTTCTACTGTGTGGTGTCCTTGCGCCTTTAAGAAGAGAGGCAAAATATTTGGTGTCTTGAGGTTAGCTCCCTAAGTTACTAGAGCTCCTCCTGTAACCTTCAATTGCATGCCATGGTTTGGATGTTAATCTGAAAAATGCCTAGGAAAGTTAAATATAAATATTCTAGTAGCTTGATGTTTGGTGACAGTTTCAGTCATTTGGTGTTACTGATACTGGAGCACTGAAAATACCTTGGAAATGAGTACATAGTTCTGAGAATAGCACAGAAATTTGTTTCTTTAATATACATTGTGAAACATTGGTGAAAACACTACAGCTGAAGTGCAGTTCCAGGTCATTGAAGGCTACCGTGGAGTATTGATTGGACTGAGCATGTACGGTGATAACTGCGTGTTCAGCGGAGGTCAGATGTCTTCAGCGAAGACCAAGTAGGAGGTGGGGAACTACAGTCTGAGGCACAGAAAAATTATTGTGGCTGGTGAGCTCAGGTACCAGTGATTGTCAGCAGTGGTGAAATTCAAAACAATGGAGCCAGCATTAATCTACGTGGTAGCGTGACAACCTTGTGGAGTTTCTCTTGTCCAAATTCAGCCATTGTGTAGTTAGGCCTCTCAGTTTCAAGTCGGTACTGTTTCGGAACAGTTGATCTCCTTTCTCTTATAGTCATTCACTGTCTGGAAACATCTCTTACTTCCTATTTATTGCATATTGAACTTGGAATAGACAGCCAAGATCAGGTCAAGTTAATACCCGTCCAAACCATTGGAGAACACTTAGGAACAGGTCATTGGAGGATTAAAAATGTAAATAAAAGGCCCACATGAGAAAACTTTGTTTTTAAAACAAGTTTGGGGCCAACATTAGTGATTTGTACTAATCACCGTGCCCATTTGAACGTGTTGAAGTTGAACCTGGGGAAAAAAATGGACCAAAAAGCAGTCATGAGTGGCAAAGGAGTTATGTGGAATTGGAGCATGGAGTTTTTGGAAACACAGAGAGCGAGCAGACTTGAAGGCAGGCACTTTGGAGATCCAATTAATGTGTAGTGCCAGTATCCTGAATTCTGCTTTCAGTTAATTCCATTGTCAGGGAAGTAGGGAGAGCAAGCAGGTAGCAGGAAACCTCAGTGTGTGGAAGTGTGTATAGTACTGACTGCAAGCATGATTGTGGAAATGATAGAATTACGGTGTAGCAAATGTAGGGACGAGAAGTGAGGCATCCTTATAAAGGAATCTTGGGCTTGTTAAGGAATAGTAATTTCCATGGGGAAGGAAACGAAATTTTTTCACCTAAATACCCTAGTAGTAGCCCAGGAGAGACAACAATACACTTTTTCAAGGGCCTAAATTAAAGAGCAGAACCAGGAGAGGGAGAAAACAGCTGCGGGAAGGCTGTACTTGATGTGTTTGACAAGATTTATCATCTTTTTCCTTCTTTGAAGGAGAGAGAAAATTGAGCAAAGTGGTGCTTTGATAGTCAAGCAGTGTGCAGTAGGTCAGAACGCGTGGGCTTTTCTGTACATGGGTCGGCTGTCATTCTTAAAAATCAGTGTTAGGTGGGCTTGAGATTTAAAATGAGAATGGATGACACTTCCCCCCCCCCCACTGGTTCAGCCTTTTGGTGTCTTTGGAAGATGCATTTGCGTGAAACGTGTGAATCGGTTTCCCTGCACTGATAAATCTAGGCTGTTTTGCCAACACTCCACACTTCATCTTCTTCCCTACTTCCTTACAAGAATGCAAGTTATTTGCTCTTTTGTCTCACTGAGAACATCTCTGCTGCAAAATGAACTGGGATCAGCATCAGCAGAAAATCAAAGCGATAAATGTAAAAACCAAAAAAAAGTGAGGGAGGATGGGAGGGAAATGCAGTGCTTGTGGGGTCCATGAGCTTGTGCACCCTGCAGGTGCAGAGAGCACTACTGCTGACACCTGCACAGCTCTGGGGGAAAGGAATTGCTTGCCCTTCCAGCAGCACCTGGCGCTTGGCGTGAGGTGATCCTGAAGCCACAGCTTTAATTGCTCCCAGGCGCACCAAAACATTTTTATTTGAAGGGAATATGTATATATTTTTTAAAGATGGATATACTCTCTATATATCATCTTAAATATTTGAAATTTAAAACTGAGAGCTGAATTTCCTATGTTGCTGGAGGAAGGTGCCAGACTGTTCAAGTACAGAGAAGGAACTCAGCATTTAGTTACTTTAATATTTGAACTAATTGGCCTCTTGGTACTTTTTTGGAGTTGCAAGAACTACAGTTGGACTTTTTTTTTTTTTTTAAGCCATCAGAGCCTTGTGCGTAACTGCAATGTTGTGTATGGTTTAATGTATTAATGTTTTATGTTGCATACTATCATAACGTCCCTCTTACTCTCCTGGCTGTATTATTCAGTTGACTTATTTTGGATTCCTGAGCATCCATAAAGCTTTTGTTTTTTTTAAGGACTGCTTTAGGATGGAAGTTGCAAGAAATATCAAGGGGAGCAGTAGTGCAAACAATTCTTTGCTTACTTGAAGATCTGAAATGGGCTACCGCTGTTCAGATAATTATTTACAACTTGGCTGATTTAATTTAGTGGAATCTATTTTGGAGAAAAACAATGCCTTTCTTAGTGATACCTCACAAAATTATCATATAATTATCATAAAATTTTGAGTTTAAAGTTATGTGCGAACTAGATTTTGTGGAAACCTCTTTAGTTGGAGAGCTATTGTTTATAAATCAAAGAGAACCTTTGATGAACTAGATAATTAGAAACTAAAGTTGTTGTAGAAACTACTAAAATAATTAAAATGTAAAAATTATTTACACTAAAGGGCTCTGATTTGATACCTAGAGAAGTGATTCTGTTTGTGACCTAAAACAAAAAACCCACCAAACTTTGTGGGGAAAAATCCTACTCGTCCTCAGCTCAGTAGAGCCATTAAGGCGTCTCAATCACTTTCTGCTCTTGTTTTGCAGAATGCTTCAGTGGAATTAATTCAAATTGATGCATACAATTCATTTGTTGCTGACTGTCTAGAAATAAGCAATTTTTAAAGACTTAAGTAAAGACTTAGTGAAACAAAGCAGATTCATTCTGGGTGTTAACCCCCAGCAAGCAATACTAGAGTGATAAGATGTGCCGGTATACACACACGGGTTAGAAGGTGGTGTAACTATTATAGAGCATAAATGAACGAGACTTAACTGTATAGTGGTAATGATTCTTCAGTACTCTTAAAAACTTAACCTTTTGAGATGTAGTAATAATTTTTTTCCAAGGCTTGTTTAAAAATGTCAAAATCTTCCTTTGCATTAAGGCTGCACGATGCGACTGTTGTAAGTCTCAAGGAACTCTCAAAGAGAAAGTGCAGTGGCGTGGCGAAATGAAACACTTTTGTGATCAGCACTGTTTGCTTCGTTTCTACTGTCAGCAAAACGAACCAAATCTGGCAACCCAAAAAGGACCTGAGAACTTAAACTATGGTATGTGCTGCTTTATGGCTGCTAAACAGCAAACAAGATGCTTCCTTTAAATGAAAAATTTAAAGCTGCATGAATTATTTATTTGTTGTAATAAACTGTGCTAGTGATTACCCTTTTTTATTTTACCATCAGAGCCATCATTGAGCTGCCTGCTTTTTTTATTTTAGCTCTTTATTTTATTGCTTTTTTGAGAGCTGAAACATTGTCAGGTAATCAAACAGTGATCACTTCTTAAAAAATAAATCTTTTTAGGTTAAGCATGCGTTTAGTGTTGTATCTTCATGGGGACAGAAAATGTTTTCCTCTTTCATTGTGCTCGGGTTTGTCATTACTCTGTAGAAACATTTTCAAAATGTGTTTTCATCACAGAGAGCGGATAAATGCACTAGGAATGAAAAAATAAATAAATGGAATTAAAAGGAAATAAATAGAAACTAAATGAGAATGGAATGAAAGTATCTAGATAAGAGGAATATTTTTTTATTTCTGTTGGCAATAGGTACTGTATAAATTTGCTGATGGGGGCTGAATGCATGTTTAGTTTAAATGGCAAGTCAGGCAAAGTTCAAATAAATCAGGTTTTTAATTAATGTAATGGTAGCAACACAACTCCTTTGTATTACCATTTTCATATTTGAATATTTTCATATTTACTTTTCTGAAAGAGGCTGTATTCACAACTGGATGGAGCATTCATTTAGCATTGGCCTTTGTGTCAGGTTCAATGCCAGAGGAGTGAGGTGCCTATGAATGAGAAGTTTTGCGTGCAGTCATCACCTGCGATACAGTACTAGTCAGTGCTGTTAATGTTATCGTGGTGATACACATTGTCTGAGTTGCTTACTGAAATTTGCTTTGATTCTGAAAAAGGGAAAAAAAAATTCTAAAAATGTTTTCTTACATTTTTAGATCAGGGCTGTCAAACCCCCCGATCAAAAATAACAGTAAGTACATATATTTAACACATATATATAACATAATTATGTTTATTTAAAATGTGAAATCCTGGTGACTTAAAGGGATGCTATTAAAAACAAGTAGCGTATTTGAATGATACTAAGCTAAATTTATGGAGTTTTTTAGTCTTTTTCACATCAGTAGTTAAAATTAAATTTTAAAATGTTCATATTTTGTCTTTTCAATGTCTTCTGGGAAACTAAATCATCAGCCATGTATTTTACATCTATAGTGCATGAAGGTGTTGCTTAAAAGTTAATCCACAAGCTGTGTGTATCTTATTCGCATGTTTAGACTGATCAGGAATATTGTGTAGAAAGGGAAGAGAATTACACCGGTCAGTTAGAATATTAAGGTAATGTTTCAGCTTTGAAAGGCTGAATATAAAGCTTCAGATCTTAAATTATAATTCCCAGGAGTTGAATGATTTCTGCTCCAAGTTTGATTGACTTGGCTGCAGGTGATAGAATAGGGAAGCATAACCTTTGAAAAATTGCTGTCTGGGAGGGCGGGGGTCACAAGTGGAGCATCAGCCTTCATTTTGCGTTTCAGTTTTTGTCAAGCTTGTCAAAAGTTTTATTATTAATAATTTTTTCAGTTAGCTTAGTGTATTTGGTTTGAAACTTAGTTTTGTTTTGATTTCTTTGTCACAAGGAAGATCTCAAAGTGCCTATTTTTCCATGAAAGTTGTCTCACCTTTTTAATGCAAATAGACTTCTGTAAGTAGATCTTAGGTTTAAGTGAAAGTATTTTGATGACATTATAAAATGTATTAATGAAAAATACAGAAGAAAAGATTGCTCAGGTAACTTGAGGCATCAGACAAGCTAAACTGTCGTGTTAAAAACATCTAGTATTTTATGTTTAATACCTTCCAATGATGTTAATTCAGTCCATAAATTTCTAAAGATCATATAAAAGCTGTTTGTGATACAGATTTTTTTTTTTCATATTTTAGAAAGTGTGCACCTGTTAAATAAAGGCCACTACTGTTCTTAGGACTTGAC